GCAGGTGCAGTAGTTGACAAACAAAAGTGTAGATGCCTTGGCAGCCTCCTTGACGGCCAAGCGGCAGACTTGAGACAGTTACGGCATGTCGGTTCCCGGTTCTTACTCTGGGGAAGCCCAGATTGTGCTTTCGTGGAACAAGCCGATCAGGGGTTTCCCCATGGCTCTGTAGACTCCATAAGTGACTACCCGTGAGCAAAGTCCACTCTCGGACACATTTGTATACACGGACGGCTAAACTCGAGCCGCTGAGCACAGATACGGGGTCAATCTCGATCACCAAGCCTCTTCTGCTCGTGATCGTCTTGCGAGCCCCCCTCGAGCAGCATCCACCGGAATGCTGCTCCGTACTTCCATGCATTAGCTGCATCTACTAACACGCTGCTAGTGTATTGGCGAGTAGGACATAACATGCAGTCAGATTTTATGTCCAAGCTTTCCGTGTCAAGTATTGCTACTCCGACTTTCCCGTCTAGTTGCCCCTGAACATTCCGGCACAGAGCACGGAGAACAACGTCCCACACTTCTGCCGGGCCGTTCATCCCATCGAATAGATCGATCAGCGCATGCCTGATTGGAGCTCGGCCTTGTCCTGTGGACGTACAGTCCACGAATGACATGGATTGATGCTCCTTTGTAAACAAGACTCTGGAGTTGATGCTCCTGCATATCGTGACACAGGATCGGTACCGACATCAGACCGGGATATCATCTGTCATATTCATGCAGGCAATGCAAGCAGAGACCCCACAACGACCTTTTACTACTCGTCACTTGGGCTATTGACAGTTGCCATCAAAAGGGGGATAACGTTGTCACTCAGCTCAGCGCTAGCTGCAATATTTCCCTTTGCCAAACGAGAGTAGCTCTTGGTACGGGAGTCAGTCGCTTGCAAAAGCACCAGCCAGTTTTTGCCGCTGTTGAAACTTGCTCGATCAAAAGTTTGTACAACGCCTATACGCCGTGGATGGTCCATCCTGGTCGGCATCAACAACAATACTGCTTCTTTTATACCTATAAGGTACGTATGCAGTCCGAAAAGGAGCCCCTCCTGGATGTAACCCCACAGACATAAACTGCCGGCAGCGCAGCACCGCGTTGCTCTGCGCTTGAGGCTCAAGACCATGTACTGATGTGATCGATGTACCACGGATATTAGCATAGAAAGCAAACATGTTGTACAACACGCTTTCGCATGCTTCGCGCGTCGCACTTCGGACCGCGGGTGTATTCCGCCCGGCAGGTCCCCCCATCTTCGTATATGCTCCCGGCCGGCCGTGTGTGACGTAGCACGAACAGACAATACAATCTTTTCATAGATGGTCTCCGCTAGAGCTCCGATTACAACCGTAACGGAGGATTTAACACCAAAGAGGCAGTCGCAGTGCCGTGAGCACCGGCCCCGCAACTCGCACGAAACTCTGCTTGTGTGTATTGAAGAACTTTCCGACAGTCGACTAGCAAGAAGTAATTCCCCGTTCATCACAAGGATCATCGGGGACGGCGCCGCAGAAGATTACAGTATGATGATGCAGGGGCCGTGGGGTGTTCTGGTGAGCCGAAACCAATATGGTGGATCAAGCCCTATTCATTCGCTTGTAAGGGTAAGCAATCGGCGGCTACTCTGATGAAGCCACTGGTGCTGATACTAAGCAGGTCGTATGCAACAGATAGATGGCCGGCCTGTCAGCCAACGTTGGTAGTACGAGTACCATCGGCGCTTGGAGGTTGCTGTTATCCATGCTGCTGTATTCGTTCGGTATCAAGGCGCAACTCTTGCGTTCCAATTGCCTGCATACATGCCGCTTGGAAATTAATGGGTGTGAGGCAACGGTCTTATCTGATGCCTGGCCAGGTCCATGGAAATCGAGATCGACTTGGCTGTCGTTTAGATATTCGCCATCCTCATCCCACTCGCACAAAGTGCCCAATCGAGCTTTTCGAGAGACCCACGCCACCCATTTGCATTGCCCTGCCTTTGCGAGCGACTGATTTGCATATTCTCTTCGCTCCACTAGAGCTGCGGGCTCGTACCTGTACTTCATGTGTACAAGGCGGGTCTGAGCAACTGGACATCTGCGGATGTTTTGCATTATCTTTCGAGTCGCAACGGTATGTGTCCAGTACCCATTCTCAGCACCACCGCGACAGGCATGAGCAATGCAATTACGAGTAGGGACTCAGCAAAGCAATGGAAACGTAAATGATGTACGGAGGTGATTCACAATGGAGCAACGCATCGGTTTGGAGTATAAAAAGAATAACATACTAAATACTAGCTGTCGCTCGGCCCGCGCCGAAGGGGACGACGCCCTCAAGCCACATCTCGATATCTCCGCTTGGAATACCAATGTCTACCTGAAGAGACGACGAACCAGCTCGGCCATCTAGGGATTGATGCCCAGCGGTGACGAGGCTTCACACATCAACTTGTGCTTTGCTCACACACGTATAGTCGCAGACAACCACAACGGCTTCGCATCACACAGACACGTGGTGGCGCAGCAATGGGATTTCCAAAGCCCTCCAGCATTTGCAGAAATGCCTCGAGACATGACAGAGCACAAGTACCGACTGTGATTGCATGTATGCGCTGGCCTGCTTGCGGAGTACGGGCATTCTGGGAGTCTGGTCCAAGCTGAGGAAGCCAATGCAGTGGACTCGGACGTGGCTCCGTTCAAACGCTACCCTCCTTTCTCTTCTCTTCTCTTCTCTCGTCGTCGATGATGGACCAACGGTGCAGCAGACGAAGTAAATGGTTGACACCAAGTCTCCATCTTGGTGCAGGACAGCGGCATCATACTACTACAAGTACCCGTAAGACTCGCTTCATGCAGCTCCGGAGCGCGGTACAGTACAGTACTTGCCCCCCTCCCAATTCCTCAACGGTGGCTCGTCTCGACAGGGGGGCACATATTTACGCGCGGTGGCACCCCTCCCTCTACTCCATAAACAAGCGGGCTAATGTAAGTCGAACCTCATCCGGCCATGCCCCGGCAGGACCCTAAGTTCGCCTCACCAACAGGCGGGCCTGGGAGGTTTAAAGCCCTCCCGGCTGGCTACAGCAGCATGGTGGAATGCCATGTACCAACTGTTTGTAGGGTTGAGGCTGTCATCCTGCCAGGCCCATCCTGGACAGCACCTTATCCTATTACGGCCCTTCTGGCCAAGCACCGCATATGCACACACGCGGCGGCTTGACAGGCTGGTGGGGGGATGTAGGGTGTGTGCGACAAGAGGAATCAAAGCTCGACCATCACCGCAGAGCTCTATCAGTCCTCTGCGTTTCCCGGCGAAATAGGAGATGCGTAGTCTACATCTCTACCCAGCAGGTAGAGCTGGGCCCATGCTTTGTTCTTCATTCCTTGCTGAATACCACCCCCGGTCTCTCCTGTCCTCTCCCATTCACGCATTTACCTTGAGGCTGCAGCAGTGAGTAAGAGCAGCGGCCGACATACTAAAAGACTGGTTTTCGCTGCCGTATCCTCGACATAAAAACTCGAGGATATCCCAGTATAACGGCCTGGAACCAGAGCAGAGTTCGACTGCAACAGCAAACAGTGCTATCTGGTACCAGCTTTTAATTCGAATAATCGATTACCCGCCATATATCATATACGCATCATGGCTCTTCGGCATCAGATCCCTGGCCATGGCGATGTCATGGACATTGGCGGAAGCCGAATGCATGAGGATATCGGAGAGAGGCTCTCCAGAGTCCTCACGGCAGTCTATGGCCCCAATGCAAAGCCAACTCTCCCAGATGAGCTTCTGTATACCGATGTGGGACTGCCCATATGGAACGAGATCATCTTCACCCCTGAGTTCTATCAGACACACGACGAGATTGCACTCTTCGATGCTCACGGCGGCGACATCGTTGGGCAAGTTCAGCCTGGTGTGACTTTGATTGATCTTGGAGTCGGGTAAGTCTCAACAGGATCAATCCTCAAGGGGTCATATGTCCTAACAAGCTCCATAATGATTCAGTGACACTCGTAAGGTGGAGCATCTGTTGGCCGCTTTTGAGAAAGGGCAGCGGAAGGCCACCTACTTGGCTCTCGATATCTCCAAGGCCTCGTTGGAGCACAGCGTGGGCTACCTTCTCGACAAGCATTCGGCAGCGGATGCAAAGGTATCTTGTGCAGGGTTGTGGGGAACATTCCAAGACGGGATGGCCTATGTGCAAGGCATTGAGGGCCAGAGACTGTTTCTCTCGCTGGGCTCAGTGCTTTGCAATGACCCTTGGCCAGAAGCCTTGAGCCACCTCAAGTACTGGGCCAAGGCGCTGCGGCCAAATGACTTTCTCTTGGTAGGAATGGATGCCCACTTGCTGCCTAACGACAAGGAGAAGATCTGGGCGGCCTATCATTCCAGGGACGACCTATACCACCAGTTCTTCATGAATGGCTTTGAGCAAGTGAACAAAGCAATTGGAGAGGAGTGGTTCCAGGAAGAAGATTGGGACTTCAAGGCGCAGCTTGAGGACGAGCCCACAACTCGGCACCGATTCTTCTTCCGCGCCAACAAGGACGTCACGATCCACAAACTTGGACGGACAATCAAACAGGGTGAAGAGCTAGACTGGTTCGACTCTCACAAGTATGGAGAGGAGAGCGTTCGACTCATGTGCCATAAGGCGGGACTGAGTGTGATATGTGTCTGGCAAGCACCAAACTCCGAGTTCCGTGAGTCCTCGACAATTTTCCCTTTTCTCGGTCTGCCTTTGCTAACAACTTGTCTCGTAGGGCAATACCTTCTCAAAATGAAGGGGGGGCAGGATCAAAGAGATGATGGGGACAGCGCCGTATCAGGGATGACTTAATAATGCTTCAGACCGCGGGGTACTTTTAATTGTTTGCTCCCATAGATTGGACACCTGAGCGGTTGGCGGGAAAGGCGATGCGAAAAATTTGGCCGTGTCGGAGACTGGAGGAGATACCAGTCTATATAGATGGGCTTAGATAGACTTGATGAGACCAATTGATATCCTCACCCCTTTAGGTCAAGCACAATATCTCGGTCTCCTGGTCTTGCACGCGCTTGACTAGATGCTCCCACCATGGCAACCTTTTGCCGACATCTTCGTCGAGCTTTCTGTTGACTGGCAGCTTCAAGTTGGGATCAGCGTCAATCCACGTCCAGATCCGTTTCAATGTCTCGTAAAGTGGAGGAACACTCTATACGAGGCAAAACCGAGTTAGCGCTTCGAAAACAAGTAGAGTGGGTTGGAAAAGGAAGTCCCGTCTTACACTTCTCACTGGCGTGCTGGTGACTTTTTCAAACCAAGTCTGCGCAACTAAAACGTGCTCGGGATCTGTAGCAAGCATCCCGAGAAGGAAGACTGGAAACAGAGGCGCTTGGGCAGTGAAGTTGTAGCCTGAAGTTGGCATGATGTTTATGCATTTGGCAAGATCGTTCAAGTTGGCCATTACCTCTCGGTGATTCCTATGCATCCTATAAATTTGTTAAAAAAAAACAACTTGTACTTAGTCAAGTGAATGGTTAGCTCACCTGAGAGCACGGCACTGGAGATAAATCATGGCTGCAATTCTCCAGGCTTCTGCAGTGACTTCTGTCATGTGGCATGCGCTCTCGATCACATAGCCTTCGGGGGCAGCGCGCACCATCTGAATAGTTTGCGGCAATTTTTTGGCTTCTTCCCAAGGCGCGGCATCGACGGCGCTGCTCCATTGCCGCATTTGCAGTAGCTCTCCGAGCAGAAACCGGGCAGTGAGCGGAGCGACTGGACTTTCAGGGTCTTGATAAAGACGCGCGGCGAGGTATGAGATTTGGCTCAAGGAATGAAGCAGCTTCTTGGAGAAGCCGCATCCGCCGTGAATCTCATACATGTCCTCCATGTTGCCGTAGAGGAGCCAGCCGAAGCGAGAGGACTCTTTCTGTGGATTGAAGGTATATGGAGACTTTAGCGGCGTCATGATCTGCGAGAGGACGACGGCTCTGCCGACAATGATTGACTGGGAGATGCGAAGGGAGGACGACTGAACGTTGGAGGGTGACCAGAATCGCGACCCTTCGTCGATTGATTCGAGAAAATGCTCGCATTGCTTGAAGCCCTCCAACCAACGCGGAGCATAAGGTCGTTTGCGACGGCGCTCAGTATAGACAATCTGAAAAGAATGAGACCCAATTTGTTAGCATCGCTCAACGGTATTGAAAGCGCAAACACTTGGTAGAGCCACTTACATCTTGCATCGATAAGATGGAAGCAATGGTGATCAGCTCGCTGGTTTCATCAACGGTAGGATCAGTTTTAGCAAGTAGTTGACTCAGACGATCCTCGGCCAGCGCAAACCGATGGTTAATGCGCCGACTTATCTCTTCCAAAGGCTGATAGTCGTAGACATATATGCCGGCGAGGCTCTGCATCGCGCACAGCACGCCGCTGTTGCCCTCCATGGGGGCAAAGTCCTGCAACCATGAGTTTGTTTTGCCCAGAATGCTCCGGCCAGGACACCAGTTCCTGAGATCTGTGTTTCCCGAAAGTCAGGATGCGCGAACCTAAACTAAAACTAATTGTGTAGTTTGTATAGGAATTATAGTGGGGGGAAATAAGGGATGTGAAATGCTTTGAGGAAATCGGGAGTTTTCAACCTACAAAATGCCCAAAGCTGCCTATCTATCTTATCCATTTTCGAAACCAGCCCAAAATGCGACGGTAACATGCGAGGACCTTGAGACGATGAATGGGTAGCCCAACCGTGGGAGCTCCACGAATGAGCAGAAGGGGACGTGGCATAGTGACTCGACCCTGCAGCCGGTAATGTACTGTCTGAGAAAGACAGCGAGCGGTCGAATCTCCTCTGAGAGTTCAGCAAAATCGCAGTAGCTTGCGATATTTGTTTTGCGTGGCGATTGGGAGCAACCAGAGACGGTGATGACTGGGTTGAAGGCCTGATAACCTCCTCTACTTGGTCATCATCAGCATCATTGCCAGGCCGAGCGACAACCGATACCGAAGACGAGCGGCCGCCCTGCGTTCTACGCTGCGGCCAGTTGAATTTGATGTATGAATTGACGGTACCATCCGTAGGACGGCTGAAGCGCCGGGACGCTTGTCCAAAGCTTGATACACAGTCTTTAAATGGACTGACGAATTTATGTGATTTTGATTCGAGTTTGGGGGAGTTGTGCTCCTGTTCAGCTCGGGAAGATGGGACCTGCTCAACAGCGGTGGCTGAGACATCCAGATCTTGGGGCGAGTGGGATTCTCGCTCTGGGGAAATGGAATTGCTCGAAGAGCCATTGTCTGATGATGATATAAGATCGATCTCCACCCGTACTATATTTAAACGTTAGTTCTTGATTCTCAATACTGAATAGTCAGAGGCGCCATGGCCCAACGTAGGAGTGGTAGTTGAGCAAATGCAGGCGTAAGCTGATGGAATGAAGTAAAGTGTAATTCGCACGCGTGAAGTGGGATTATTAGCAAAAGGAAATGACGAGAAGAAGAAACTGGTATGGTACCCTCCAGCATTCTGCAGTGACAGAAAGAAACCTTGTCTTTTTTTTTCTCGTCGGATAGGTGCAGAGATCCATAAGCAAATGCTAGATATGATAGAAAGCAGTATTGGGCCAACACACAGATCGCGTGGCGTGGTAAGACAACAGGGAGTGTTGGATGTATATGTGCGAGGGGGGGGGGGGGGGGGGGGGGCACCGATTAAACCTATTACAAAAAAAAAAAAAAGGCATACCAAAC